AATTGAACTGATTGAATTCAATTACACGCAAAACAGCTTGCGCGCTCGTTAAGTTCATAACAAAACCGCTCGAATAATGACTTTCTAATTATTGATAGAGTAAATAAAAGATTTGAAAATTCTCAGCAGATCTTCGCTTAAATAATCGAGGCTAACAGCATTCGCGTATAAATTTTCCCGTGCACAATATATTGTATTCATTTTTTCCCATCGAAATTAATGGATAAATTAATTAATGGCTGACAGGAATGGCGTGACAGGATGACAAGGTCTGGGCTACATAATTTTTAACCGCCGGGGCTAGGTGTAAGGCCAAATTCATTCGAGGAATTATTATTGTGTCATTAATTAGCATTTAGGTGTTAATAGATAGGCTATCACTTTCAGAAATCCAAAAATCCTGCGGTAAAACTCAAATGGATTTTCTCACTTCAGTTTTAAAGAATATTTGACATTTCAGCTGCCAACAAATGAACTGTAATGATAATGATAATTATCAACACTTGCTATAATTATACGAAATTAATTATCTGTCATTAGTCTTATTTCTCTTCCAATTTTTTTATTTGGTGTCTTTTTTAATGCAATCTTTAAAAGCATCGTAAAAATTAATAGATTCTCCGGAATCTATTTCCGACTCTATCTTTTCTGGTGATTCACCGTCTTCTTTTCGATTTCCATAAATCGAGAACTGTTACCCGTCGACTAATCTTTAATTACTAAAGGATTACCAGGATTTCCAATGATCTCCGGTGATTTAATGAAATGCAACTAATTTACTAAAATCCTAATACTTCCTTTTTTTAAAAAAAAACACTCAATACTCGTTGTTGGGTAATAGAAATTAAATAATTCGAGCAACAATTACGGAACTCCCAGACAAAATCCCATAATATAATTCCATCAAATCTATCCTAATCACTTTGTACTCCGAAAAAAAAACGTAATTTCTACTGAATACTTCTTTCCGTGTGATAAATACTAGTTGGAAATTATATGATTACCTGAATATTCGCGTGGATTTCCTGATTTATCAAATTTCTATCGGCCCTCAAGATCATCGAGAACTTTTACGCACAAGAGACTCATAATTTCAAAACATCTGAAGTTAAACGATGCAACCCTAGTCTCAATAAATTGACAGCCTTGATTAAGAAAAATATTGGTAATAGAGTATTAGGTCAAAACATTTAGCTAATTGCAATCTAGTTTTCCACAGAATACACATACACGATTACCATGATAATTATTTGTCTAATTTCAATAACATGCTGAATATTGAAAAAAAAGGTTGTTCTATGAATGACTAGGATAATTAATATTAATTAATCATTAACGCTACAATGATCGGAGTTAATAAATGAAGACAAAGCAAGAATAAAAAATTAAGTAATAATAATAATAATATAACAGTAATTGTTCATGATTGAGACACTATCACTTCCGAATAGTACTTATTTATTATTTTAATACCTCGAGTAATTTCGTAATTTATAATAATTTCCCATTAGATTTCAATCATTACAATAATCTACTGTAAAGGATTGTCATGTAAATTGAGAAAAAAAAAGTGACTTCTGCCAAGTAAATTTGCTTAGCAAAAGTCATTATTTTTAACTGTCCGTTCTCTGAATAATTATTAATACTAACGAATTACCAGGAATTTTTCTCTGGAAAGAATAAAATACGAGATAATGCATGATCATCACCTATAGCGATATGAGTGTCATAATTCAATTGAAACCCAATCATAATTTTTTGTAATCATGCGATCAGAGAAAGACAATTTTTCAAAGTCCGCAAGTAGAATCTATCGAACGTCGCCTTTGATTTGAATTTCATCTTGTTTATTTATTATAAAAATAAAATATTTTAAAAGTGGGGGGTTAAGTTATAAATGGATGATGATGAAAAAAATGAAAAATTATTGAAAGGTAGCAGATGAAGACAAAATTTACAGAAAAATCATTAAAAAACCAGTTTACGATCAACATTTGAAAGTCCATTTTTATTCCATACTGCTATTAACTGTGAAATGTATTCTATTCCCCATCATGACGGCTGGTCAATTGCATATTTTTAATTATTTATCTGTAAACTTTCCAGATATCGTAGAATCAATATTTCTATCTGCCACCCTTCAACAATTTCTCCCCTTTTTTATTATTTTACATTACATTATTTTTCAATGGCTGTTGGAATGCCTTCCACAATATAAATTGAAACTCAAATTGAAAAATATTTTGCACTACCAATATAAGATTTGAATGAATAATTATCTCGAATAATATATTTGACAATTTCTCTGTCAATGCGACGATTTTCCGGGTGAAACGAGAGTTGTTTGAAAAATTGTTAATCTACCAGTGGTTGCAACTTCATACGAAAGTGAAAATAAATTGATTTTCAAAGCAATACTAAATGACGATCTATGCAGTTATGTTACCAACCGCCCGGTGGCCTTGGCCTACTGTTTCACCCACTTCTGGAGTGTGACATACACGATGAGCACATACAAAACGTACTCGTCACACAGTTGGTAAGAATTGCATAATCGTGTGTGACGATTTACCAGGGACGTAATGCACTCGACAGTAAACTACATTCCAACAATAATAACCCGTAATAATTGTTATTTCAATTAGTTCTCGCGTTTAAAAGTTCGAAAAGTTAAAATACAGCATTCAGGAGTCTTCCATATAATTTATCCCTTAAAAATATTTCAGAATCGACCGAGTTAAATAGCTCGAGGTTAATTGAAATTATGTCTTTCCCCTGAGGGGAAACACCGCGTGGGTAAACTTTAATTTCCGGAAATACTGAAAAATATTTATAGAAATGATAATAGACGACTGAGGATAACAATAATTATTGATGGTAATTAATAATAGATTAATATCCTTAATTTCATTACATTATAATTATATATAAAAGTATCTGTTTTGAAATTTCGTATTTTGTAATTTTTTTTTATGTAATTGAACCTAATTAGCTTAATGTTGATAGGAAAATCAATATTAGACATTTTTTCCCCAATTTTCATTTCCTCTTTGCTATGTCGGTTCTCATACTCAATGACTTTGTATAGGAATATAAAATACATGAGTATCTTATTTTATTTAAGCGGAATGACTTTTTTTCAAAACATCACACTTGAAATTCGACACATCGATAATTCTCGAAAAAATCGATGGAATTGCAAAATCAAATGACAATGTAAAGAATTCGTCAAGATCTTTGAAATCGTGTACAATATATTTCCCAAAATGAAATCGAATTCTCGAATCTCGAATTCTCGAATTCTCGAATTCTCGAATTCTCGAATCTCGAATTCTCGAATTCTCGAAATCGAATTAGCAATTAGCGGAATTTTGGAGCGTGACATGGTGAAAAATGAAGAAGAAATCAATTACTCTTCAAATACTCGACTAAATCTGGCGCAACTAATGTCAAGAGCTAAAAATGTTCTTTGCAGTATTATATGAATATTTCTATTTACTCGCATTGGGAATTTGGAAAAGTTGAACGAAACTTGAAATCTAGGTAAAACATAAAAATCACTTTTACACGTTCTAAACGTCATAACTCCATGACAAACGATGGGAAGCACATAACTAAAGTATTTTTTTTTTAAGCTCATTTCATGAACTTTCAAATG